TTTATTTCAAAACCCCCTTCCCCTCCCCCTTTTCTGATGAAGGGTCTCGGCCCGAAACGTCAGCCTCTCTGCTCCTATGATGCTGCTTGGCCTGCTGTGTTCATCCAGCCCTGCACCTTGTTGTCTCGGATTCTCCAGCATCTGCAGTTCCTACTGTCGCTGAGGTTAGGATGTTATTTCTCGGAGAAAGCACTGTCGCCACATGGAATGGAGGTAACAGAAGCAAACCCCTCAAAGTTACTTGAGTGACAGATGTTATAACACAGGGAAGTCTATCTGTGTGATATGGAGATTATAGAACTGATGCAATTTGAAGAAATAGTGAAGAGATATCCCCATAATCAGGTCCTTGAACTTTGCTCACGTTCTCTGACAGCCTGCTCCGCCATTGCTCAGCACATGTTGGCTCTCCATGTCCTCACTGCAGTGAAATAACGGTGAGAGGGATTGCCTCAGTACATCTGCTGACTCATCCTGCCTCAGCATTGTCTGCACACAGTGAGACAGAGGCTAGGGAGGTGACAGAAAGATTGTAGGAGCCAGTGGGAGGCAGATTTCCAGAGCAGGAGAGAAACTGATTCTGACTTTGGCCATAACTTCCATCTCCTGACTGCTCTGGATGCTATAAAAAACTCATCCACAACATTTAACACTCATCGGTGAATAGCGAACAGAATGAGGTCCGTTCAATGAATGTTCCTGTTCATTGAGGTGGTCTATTCATGGAATCCATACAGTGTGGAAACAGGCCACCCGGCCCAACAAGACCACACTGACCCTCCAAACAGCATCCCACCCAGGCCCAGCCCCACATTTCCCACGGCCAACACATCTAACCTATATATCCCTGAACACTATGGGGCAATCCAGAATGGCCAATCCCCCTAACTTGCACATCTTTGGACTGTGGGAGGAAACCAGAGCACCCGGAGGAAACCCACGCAGACACGGGGAGAATGTGCAAACTCCACACAGACAGTCACCTGAGGGTGATATTGAATCCAGGTGCCTGGCACTGTGAAGCAGCATTGCTAACACTGAGCCAGCATATCACCCTCACCACTGAGCCACCGTGTCGCCTCACACTGTCCTCATTCCACACTGTCTGCTTTTGCATTATTGATTTATATTCCTGTAGATTTTCTTAACAGTTGTGCTTTCTTGTGATATTGCTGAAATCTATTTCTTTACAATGCAGAGCTCAATAATTCAGGTGCCTTCAAGGTGGAATAATGCAACAAACATGCCTCCAATATTAACTGGGAGGTGGGAGAGGAGGTGGGAGAGGAGGATTGCAATATTAATTACCTGCCCATAATATATGTCCGATATTCACATGTCCTTGGATCAAAGGCACAGGAGAAGGCCTTTTGGCTCCTTGAGTCTGTTCTCTTATTCAATTCAACCATGGCTGATGTGTGGTTAAACTTCAGTGACCTGCTTTAATTCCATGTCCCTTCACATCCTTACCAAACTGAGAAGCATCAAACTCAGTTCTGAAAATCTTCAGTTGTCCTCAGTGTCAAGCACTTTCCTGGGAGTGTAAATTCCAGATTTCCACTGTCCTTTGTGTGATGAAGTGTATTTCAGTCATCATCCTGAATGCTTTAATTCTGAAGTTATGCCTTCTTGTTCTGGACTCTCCCACCAGAGGAATCCATTTGTTTGAGCTGCCTTTGAATCCTGAAGTAAACATCCAACAGGGGTCTGGATCCTCTGCTTGCTGGCAATGTGCCTGACAGGGCTATTGTCCTCGAAACAGTCTCCTAATTGACTACCCCCACATGTCCCAAATAAAATACCGAGCTTTCAATCCATCCTATGCTCACTGACCTACACTGCTTCCTTGTCCAGCAACACCTCAATTTGAAACTTCTCATCCTTGTTTTCAAACCATTCCCTGGATTTGCTTCTTCAGCCTTCTTCCAGGCCTACAACCCCCCCATATCTCTGTAGGCCTCTTGCATATACCTGAATGGGGATTGTCAGTTCTGCCTTCAGCTGCCTAGATCCTAAGCTCTCGAGTTTCTTCCTTCACCTTTCCATCTCTGTACTCTCTCTGCTCCTTTAAGCTGCTTGTTAAAATCTACCTCTTCACCCACATTCTTTGGCCCTAATGTTTCCTTATGTGTCTTGTGTCAAAGTTTGTCTCTGAGGCATCAAAGAACATTTAGCTATGTTACGCTGTGTTAAATATGCTATTTAAATGTTGCTGTCATTAAGAAGCAAACAAATCAAAGTTCATAGAAAGCAAAACGATTATTTGTCATAACAACGAAGAAGAACTGATGGGAACGTCTCGTTCATTGCCAATCTACATGCAGCTACTAACCAAATAAGTGAACATGGTAGTTGAAAAACATACTCACTTCATTGGTTTAAAGAGTGCCTGGCCGTAGTTTTGGAAAGACATGATGAGTTTTAACTGTGTGCCTCCAGATTTCATCACTGTGAGGAAAATACAAGTGGACGATTAATTAAAATGCAACATATATTTTAATCAAAATGCAAATGATTTCCTAATTTGAGGGATGAGTGCTTTCTCCCCTAAGTTACATCACATCATTTAGGACTGGACTAGGCCATTCAACCCCTGAAAGCTGGCTCACTATTCATGGCTATGCTATCTTGATTCTGTTCACCAACATTTGCTTCATAACTGTGATACACTAGGATGTACTGCAGGGTAGTGTTAATGGTGTGGGTGCAATTCTAGCATCAGCTGAGGTTACTATGAAGGGCTTTTTTCTCAACTGCTCTTTGAGGTAAGGTGACTCTTAGGTTAAACCACAACTAATTGCTTCTCTTTGATGCAAGTGTGGGACGACAGTGATGTTACTTTTTACACTTACATTCAATCAAAATCTATTGCTGTCCATCTTCAACATATTCATTGACCCAAAATACAAGGTCTTCCACAGAAAGGAATTTCAGACTTTCAATGTCCTCCATTTCCAAAGTTTACCCCCCTAATTTTGAGATTTCACACCCCATGAGGACATAACTTCTGTGCATCTAGTGCGACAAGACCCATGTACATTGGATCAAATGTAAATAATCCCACAGGACATTACTCAAATCAGAAATGACTCTCTTTCACTTTTGCTTTCCAACCTGCTCAGTGGAAAAACCAGGGAGGCAGAGTTGGTCTCCTTTGAACAGAGAAGTTAAAGGGAGTCTTAAGACAGATGTTCACGATTATTAAGGGTTTTGAAAAATGAATAAGGAGGAACCTCCATTGGTAAGAGAACAGCTAGCAGAGAACACAGTCAGGGTGATTGTCAAAAGACTGAGAGTGGAGGCCATGTGGAATATAATTTTACCAGTGAGTTCT